AGCAGCTGCAGAACTTCATTAAAGGAGCCTGAAGATGGTGGAGTGTATTTACTATTGCTGTATTTCTTTACATGATCCGTCACTTGATATTTTAAAACAAGATCATTACGATCTGGGAACTACATCTGCTCTGGTCCCATAAGTGGAACTAATCCAAAGAGATTAATAAGACTTTTCTATGGGACCCAATAGAATAGGTAATTTCACCAGCTCTCAAAATATTGCAGTTCTGTTTTAGAACATCAAAAAATGGACAAATTCCAAAAAAACAATATTAAATTACAGTAGCTGTTTGTTAAAGATTTTCTTCCTTAAACTATCAAAACCATTACTATGAAAAGGATTTATCCAATACAATTATCACTTTAATAGTATAGTCTCCATGTAATATGAAATCAACGACATCCACATCAGTTTACTTGGCATGTTCGTGCCAAAGCAGTGGCAATGGCTCAGCTGATTATGTCTTGGCTTTAGTAATCAGAAGGTAAAGCACATATTAAATGGTCAGAAAACATTGTGTTACAGGGTTTATTCGATAGTTACACATACTCACTACTAATAATTCAATTCAATTCAATTCAATTCAATTCAATTAATTTATTTAAGTGCTTGACAACAGCCAGGTAAGGCCAATAACAGTCAAGCACTGAACAACATTACAAATGAAGTCAAGTTAATTCTTAAATATTTGATTTCATTAAATATGTGCCAAACCAATACAGCAAAGGAGAATATTTGGGTCTACAGAAACAAATTCAAAAACAAGGCAGAATATGCTATGACACAAATTGTCCCTTAATTAAAAGTCTCCATGGCTGCAAATTTATCTCCTGAACAAAGGTTATTATTACACACTCAATTTTAGCTTTCAATATGGAAAGAGTTAATGATACTTAACAGAAGTGACAACACTGTTCTAATATATGGGTACAATTTGCATCAACTTACAAAAGAAATAAAAGATAATCTTAGAACATTCATAGTTCCTGTGAATTGTATAAGAAATTCAATAGCATGCAGTATTTTGAATACAAAGCCCACGAATTATACAAGATTTACGGGATACATTTGTGTAAAATATTTCTCACTTTGGTCAATGTTTAATTTCACATGTTTTAAAACTGATGCAACACATAATTAAAATGGTATTTCACAAACACTGAGCAATAAAATTCAGTCCTCTGGCACCATTTTGCAAAGGACACTTCAAAATCCATTCATCAGAGCGGAATTCCTTCATGTGGACAGACAACTGGAGATGCAATGTGAATAAACAATGCTCACACAACTGACCTCAAGCTCCGCCTTTATTGCTGGAGATGTTATCAAGAGAGGATCCTCCTCCTCTATCACACCTCCGACATCGTCAACTTTGATATCGACGATTTGATTGTCTTCATAAGAAGACTCGAGACACGTTTCACCATAAGAATCAGGTATACCTTTCTGTAAATTGATGGAGTCCTGTAAAATAATCATACTCATAAGTCGTGACTGTGCTGTCTCACTGCATGAAATGGAATAATTATCAATGCAATTGGACTGAATAAAACTAATAGTACCTGCAGAACATCGTTAAAGGAGCCTGCAGATGGTGGAGTTTATTTAAAAATGCTGATTTTCTTGACATGGTCCATCATTTGATATTTTAAAACAAGATCAGTGCATTCTGGGAACTACATCTGCTCTGGTCCCACAGGAGGGACTAATCCCAAGGGACTAATAAGACTTTTCTATGGGACCAACAGAATAGGCATTTTCACTTTAAAACAGCAGCAGATCCAGCTCTCGAAATATAATGGTTTTGTTTTAGAAAATCAAACTATGGACAAAGTCCTGAACAACAACAAAATTCAATCATAGTAGCTGTTTGATAAAGATTTTCTTCCTTATAATTTTCAATACCATTGCTATGAAAAGGATTTATCTAATACAAATATCACTGTAATAGTATACTCACCACGTAATAAGAAATCAAAGACATCGACATCAGTTTACTTGGCATGTTCATGCCAAAGCAGTGGCAATGCCTGAACTGATTATGGCTTGGTTTATGTAAACAGAAGGTAAATGCACATATTCAATGGTCACACAATATTGTGTTACAGGGTTTATTCGATAGTTACATGTACACATTAGTAATAAAGTGCACACAATAATGAAATTACATGTTGTATGTTTTGGACAGAAATACTGAGCAGAGCATCACATTAACATTCCTCTCTCCCGACCAACTTTATATATGAAGTCAAGTTAACTTCTTAAATATTTAATTTAATTAAATATGTGCCAAACCAATACAGCAAAGGAGAATATTTGGGTCTACAGAAACAAATTCAAAAACAAGGCAGAATATGCTATGACACAAATTGTCCCTTAATTAAAAGTCTCCATGGCTGCAAATTTATCTCCTGAACAAAGGTTATTATTACACACTCAATTTTAGCTTTCCATATGGAAAGAGTTAATGATGCTTAACAGAAATGACAACACTGTTCTAATATATGGGTACAATTTGCATCAACTTACAAAAGAAATAAAAGATAATCTTAGAACATTCATAGTTCCTGCGAATTGTATAAGAAATTCAATAGCACGCAGTATTTTGAATACAAAGCCCACGAATTATAGAAGATTAACGGGATATATTTGTGTAAAATATTTCTCAGTTTGGTCAATGTTTAATTTCATATGTTTTAAAACTGATGCAACACATAATTAAAATGGTATTTCATAAATAGTGCCCAAGATAAATTCAGTCCTCTGACACCATTTTGCAGAGGACACTTCAAAATCCATTCACCAGAGTGGAATTCCTTCATGTGGAGATGGACAAGAGATACAAAACACGAAATCCTACGTATTTCTTAAAAGTGCATAAAAATGTGAAACTCACCTCATGTTCAGACTTTATTAATGGAAGTTCTCCTAGAGGATCCTCCTCTTCATGTGTATCTGCAAAATCTTCAAGTTTTATATTCATGATCTGCGAAAGAAGACGTTACACAAGTCTCATTCTATGAACCAGGTACAACTTTAGGTAAAATTAAGTTATGCAAAACCTCCAAATCCGATACTGATCATGACCACGTTTTGTCCACTTACAATTTCAATGTAAAACATAATCATAACACAATCAGATAGGATAGAGCAAGGAAAGATAACCTTTTTGGGTGACAGGTAACTTGGAGGAGCTGATAATTACAGTAAGCATAATAAAATAGCATCTATATATATCTGGACTGAAACAATTAGATTACAACTGTTAACTCATGTCCTGTAACAACACCCTCAAGAAGAACTAAACAAATTAAACATTTAAAATGGAATGTTACTGAACTAAGTCTGCTGAACAGACTAGTCCCCAGGCAGTCAAGACATTAGCCGCATATACGGAGCCCACAGGTTTACAGAGTCAGTTCAAAGAGCCTGCCACTGGTTGCTAACCTTAGCCACAAGGATCCAGTCCTTGTGCTCATTAACGTATTTCTTTAAGAACTATTTCAATATTATCCTCCAATCTCCTCATAAAGCAGTCTTCTCCAGTCC